TCAAATTTAAAATAATTTTAAATTGCACAAACAAACGGAAATTTTAGGTGAAGCGGTGCGTCACCCGACGAGCCGCCACTGGTGGGAGGCAAACTCAAAATGCCAAAATTTTTGTCGGGCAATTTTTTTGGGGGGTGTAAAAAAATTATATCTCATTTAAACTTAAACAAAAGTGCTGGTCATAACATTCCATGTTTATGCCAGAGTGACATATTTTCCTAAAAATCACGGGAAACTTATTAAGCTGCACGCAAAGTTACAGCTTGCTGGTAATCATATTTTTTTTTTGTACGTGGGCCCGTGGACTATTATTCATAAATTTATCTTTTCATATTTTCAATGGTGACGTCGCCATCTATTGTGATATTTAACTTTTACATTTCATCCTCTTCCGCTGGATGACCTTAGTGTACCACTAAATCAATGAAATATATAGGGAGATACGTATATTATTTGCTAAAATTGCACATTATTTTCTTAAATTTTTTTGACGAAGTCAATTCCATAGTAGGCTACAGCTATTATTAGTAACAAAATAATTATTAATAAGAACAACATCAGACCGATATAAAGTATTAGCACTATTCTAGGGACCCTGAAATAAAACAGGTCAAATACTTCTAACCAACTCAGAAGTGTTAACAACTTACCCTTTAAGACGATCACACATTCTCGCCTCACACACCAACTACAGTGAAAAATACCTACAACTTACAATTAGTATGGATTTGGCTCTGAACAGGTTTCTGTTGGTGAACTTCACAGATACAGCTTAATTACTGCAAAACCCTATAAAAGACAGTTGTTTGAAAATCTTAAGAGGATACAGAGGATGGATATACTCGGTTAATCAGTGGTGTAATACGATCCTGTGGATACCGCATTCTTGACAGTATTACCCCGTATCTCTGACCATACGAGTTGACAGAAATTTCCATCTGGCAACACTGGTTATAACCAACCATGTTGTCGTTAAATCGACATCTACGGGGCGTAGGACTGCAAAAACTTCTCAAGAATTATTTTGTCGGACAATAAGATACTTTCATTTTAAATCTTATTACCAAACCCTCCCAGAAAAATCAGCATGCTGGTTGTCACCAACAATAATGTCACCAAATCGACATATCTGGGGTAGGAAGCAAACTCAAAATGCCAAAATTTTTGTCGGGCAAATTTTTTGCGGGGTGTAAAAAAATTATATCTCATTAAAACTAAAAAAAAGTGCTGGTCATAACATTCCATGTTTATACCAGAGTGACATATTTTCCTAAAAATCACGGGAAACTTATTAAGCTGCACGCAAAGTTACAGCTTGCTGGTAATCATATATATTTTTTTTTGTACGTGGGCGCGTGGACTATTATTCATAAATTTATCTTTTCGTATTTTCAATGGTGACGTCGCCATCTATTGTGATATTTAACTTTTACATTTCATCCTCTTCCGCTGGATGACCTTAGTGTATCACTAAATCAATGAAATATATAGGGAGATACGTATATTATTTGCTAAAATTGCACATTATTTTCTTAAATTTTTTTGACGAAGTCAATTCCATAGTAGGCTACAGCTATTATTAGTAACAAAATAATTATTAATAAGAACAACATCAGACCGATATAAAGTATTAGCACTATTCTAGGGACCCTGAAATAAAACAGGTCAAATACTTCTAACCAACTCAGAAGTGTTAACAACTTACCCTTTAAGACGATCACACATTCTCGCCTCACACACCAACTACAGTGAAAAATACCTACAACTTACAATTAGTATGGATTTGGCTCTGAACAGGTTTCTGTTGGTGAACTTCACAGATACAGCTTAATTACTGCAAAACCCTATAAAAGACAGTTGTTTGAAAATCTTAAGAGGATACAGAGGATGGATATACTCGGTTGATCAGTGGTGTAATACGATCCTGTGGATACCGCATTCTTGACAGTATTACCCCGTATCTCTGACCATACGAAGCCGGAGTGTCAATGTACTGACGATTCTTGTCACTTATAACGAGCGTTCAAATAAAAACGTGGTCGAAGTTGGCTCTGACACATTGGACGTAGGGAGTAGCTTATAGCGACCCACTTAACCTCATTTCTCAACGGGCTGTATAGCAGCTGTCAGTTTCAATAACGTTAATGACTATATAACTTTATTTTAAAGAATAATCGTGATAACAATAACAAACAATTAAAGGAGCTGCGGAAAGTGTCCCCCTCCTTGTTATAACAATAAATTAAAGCAGCTGCTGAAAGTGTCCCCCTCCTTGTTCCAAGCACTTTTCACACCTGTTCCTCAAAGAATTAAAGACATTTTCTAAGATGCTCGGGGTATTGTTAATTTCACGAATCTTGTCTATAAGTCGAGCCTGCAGATGGTTTAAATCAGGAATAGGCAGTTCAAAAATAGTGTTTTTAAGGTAAGGCCACAAAAAGAAATCACACGGCGTAATATCACATGACCTCGGTGGAAATTCATGTTCAGCATTGAGACTTATTAGTCGATTTTGGAAAACTTCCCTCAACATATTCATCGTCTCGCCTGCCGTATGTGCCCTTGCGCCATCTTGTTGAAAGTAAAAGTTTGTAATTTCGTTTTCTTCCAGCTGGTTAACAAAAGGAGCGATAATTTCTTCTCTATACCTTTGCGCAGTAAGAGTACCATTAAAAAAAATAGGTCCATAAATCCTCCTTCGATTGAGAGCACACCAAACTCCAATTTTTTGAGCGTGTAGAGGGCCCTCGACAAAAAAGTTATCTGGTTTTTCAGAAGACCACATTCTCATATTCTGTGAGTTTACGTAACCACTTAAATGAAACCAGGCTTCATCAGAAAAAAAGGTGATATTATGAAGTTCACCGTAGTTGTTTAAAAACCATTCACAAAATACAGCCCGTCGCGGAAAATCAACTTCATGAAGTTCTTGCTGACAAGTTAAACGATAGGAGAACAAACGCAAATCTTTTTTTAACACTGTGTGGCAGGTACCGACTGATACTCCCACCATTTGTGATAAAACACGTACAGAAGTTCTTGGCGCATTTTCCATTATTTGTTGGACATTTTCTTTTAATTCTTCAGTCCGCTTTTTAGGTCGGCCGCTTCCTTCTTTTCTTGTTACACTGCCCGTTTCACGAAAAACATTAACACAACGCTGAACTGCACTTTGAAAAATTTTGTACTCAACAACGCCGGGAAATTGATTTTGAAATTCTATGAAACATTCCTCAATAGAATACTTCCATATTCCATCAATCTTGCGTCCATTTCTAAAGTAGGACTCTATGATAAACACTTTTTGTTCTTGAGAAAACACCATTTTAAACGCTTTTTAAAACGAAAATATTCAAATTGATAGCGGCGATATAGCGCTTTGACAGATGACGTTTAAGTTCATTTACTATACGCTACGCCCTACGTCCAAATTTTCAGAACCAACTTGACCACGTTTTTATTTGAACGCTCGTTAATTAGAGTTCGGGACTCGGTCGGATGATCATAGCTGCCGTGTCCGCCTTTTCCTACAGACCACCATACAAAAGAGAAATTATTGGTTTAATACGTGTTTTAATATTCTAGTAATGTCGAACGCGCCAAGGGGTAAAAAAACGACCTTTCTGTGATAAAATACGCAAATTTATTTATTTTTACTTATACCTACCCATTTATTTAATTGTTTATGACGAACACGCCTATGACTAGCCGACGAAGGCCCCAAACTCTTCTTATAATAACTGTTCGACGAACGAATTTACAACGGTTTGAGTTTGGAATCAAATGCGCATGTCTTGTCCATAACTGATTTCGAATTTCATTCTTAAATTATTATTATAAAAAATAATTAAATTATATTTTTTTTGTATTATATCCTACTTTTTATTATTTCAGGTATGTACGTAACGTTATATCGCAAAAGCGCATACTGCTGATGGTTTCTGATAGTTGCCAATCGTACTTCGAATAAAGCTAATTCTTATCAGTTCTATAATAACCATTCTCATTTGGGGAGGCCAGATGAGCGAATTGATTGGATCGGAGAACAAATTTTCATTTTATAATTTTACACTATCAACGAACTTCGTCTGATATTTGGTGCAGAGATGATTCGGAATGACGCCTATTTCATGACTAAAAAAATTGACACTTCGTCTTCGCCCAAAAATTTCGTAACTAGTAATACGTTTAAATATAATATATATAAAAAAATATATTCTATAATTACCTTCAATATATTCATGGTTGAGTACTAAATTCCATACAGTACATAATTAATAATTTGGAATTAAATATAAGACGATGTTGACAGTTTTATAACCGTCAATTAAGACGGATAACCAGTACAAGCTTTCTAGATTATGGTACTATACAGTGAGAACGCGCGGGTTGGAACAAATTCATTTAAAATTCATGGGTTTGTTTTTTGGAAAAACGCCCGGACACGTCGATTTTTATTTTTGGCTGCGTTTTTTGCGATGGTGCAACTTCATATATACAGGGTGGCCCAAAAATAAATGATGACAGTAACCATTTTTTCAAATGGAAACCTATTTTTTTATTTCATTTTTGAATTCTGCCCCGAATTCTAAGTATGTTTCTTGTACCATGTCCTATACCTAAACTCAACAGTTATCCAGAAATTTACGATTTATTTATTTATTTATTAATAAAACAGAACAATAAACCAAATTAAATGTACAAATTGCTGACCACACAGGAAAAGAAAACAATATTGACCCCATTGTCAGTATTAATATTTAATTTTAATATAAAATAATACATAAATGCTCCTTTATGTAAGTAATCGTGTTTAAATGCATTTGAAGCTTAGATTGCCTAATCTAAGATTTGAAGCTAGCAGATAATATATCAATGATTTTACCTATTTCCGCTTTTTCTCCCAATTGTGTACTTTAGTTCCCACCATTCCATTCCCTGACCTTTTCTCATCGGTCATATGAATTATGTTGTACTATGTACTGTACCCACCTTTTCAGACAGGACATATCCAGAGAGAGGGCGTCCCACCGAGAGGTATCCTTCATTCAGTCCAGACAAGTACCCCAAACACACGCCTGAGAGGAACCACCCCCACAGGGACAACCCACCCAAAGAGTACCCAGGTGAGAAACCACCAAACACCTGCGACACCAGCTACGACGCCGTGGCGGTCATCAGGCGGGAAGTCTTCATCTTCAAAGACGCCGTAAGTAAAATGTTTTTTTATTTTTCCGGATTTTTCCGAATTGTTCCGCCTTATTTGCGCACCAAAGTGTCAAGCTCATTACCGATTTCCTTTCCAGTTCTTTTGGAGGATCGGAGACAACGGCCTGTCGGCCGAATATCCGGCCAGGATCGACCGCCTCTGGCGCGACCTGACTCACGTGGACGCAGTCTACGAGCGTCCCGACGGTCGAATCGTATTCTTCGTCGGGGATAAGTACTATCTGTACGGGGGCAGCAACTTGGAGCGGGGCTACCCTAGGCCCTTGACACAGCTGGGTCTCCCTAAGAGCCTGAAGAAGATCGACGGGGCAATGGTGTGGGGTCACAACGGACACACGTACTTCTACAGCGGGGACATGTATTGGAAGTAAGGTTACTTCTTTATTAAAAATTTTTCATGGTAGCTCTAACGCTGTGTATTAATTTCAGGTTCGATGAAGACGTTCAACGTGTCGAACTGGACTACCCCCGCAACATCTCCATGTGGAAGGGTGTGGGTACGGACATTGATGCAGTTTTCCAGTGGAAAGACGGTACGTTTATAGAGTGAGATGAAGAACTGTAAGAGGGTGGGGCACTTTTAAGGGATCTTTTGCATCTGAACAAAAAGTGGTCACAGGTTCGATTTTCTAAAATGCGATTTTACATCCCGACATCTTTATTTGTTTAAGAGCCACAGGGCATTTCTTATTTTTGTCCACATTTTCTTGTGATGTCTAACAACTTGTTTAATTGTAAAAATTTTTTATTTCTTTTCTTTTCTGTAAGATCCAATTATTCAATTATGACTTAAACTTTTCTTTACAATAATTTTTGAATGTACAAGGGACCCTTACAGATACAATTTTGTAAAAATCAAAAAGGGCAGTTTGAGATTGATTTAAAAATGGACTTGCAAGTTGCTATACACGTGAACCATTTTTGACACTTGGAAAACTAATGTAAACACTATCGCAAAAACGTTAATACTAAAATCAGAGTTTACAGACAAGGGTTGAAAAGTTGAAAATACTACAACTTCAATAATTTTTTTCTCGGCAACTATAAGGATTTCACAAAAAATTTTTTTACGATGTCGACTCCATATTTCATGACGAATATATTCCCAATTTTTTTTTTTGGATAATATGTGAATCACCCTGTATATATTCTTTTTCAATTTCTAAAATCTCTAAAATTTCCTTTCAAATAATATATCTTACAAGATTATACAAAAAATTTATCATTTGTTTTTGTTTGTGGGTATCTGTTTTCTGATACAATTAAGTGTGCCATGACATGTCAATGAAAAAATGCGTGGCATTCTAAATAAAGTAATTGATTTATGAAGATAAAATATTTCTTCTTAAAAATTATTGTTGATAATTAAATTCTGAAAACGGTGTTATATTTTCAGAAGCTGTCACCTAAATTTAAGATAAATAAAATTTATTATACAAGGCGATTCATTAGTACTGCAAAATAATTCAGTTGGCGAGATTCCATGAAAAAAAACCCTACAGTTATGTGTCTAGAAGTGTGTCTAGGATAAACGTAAAATAACTAGAACTCATCCTGCAAAAAATGATCCTGAATTTTTTGCTACGATTTTAGATGCATCATAATGGAATGTTGGAAAAAATAACTTTTGAAAAGCATAACCCTGAAAAAAATGTATATATTTTACATTAATAATTTTTTGGACTTCACATTACCAGAAAAAAAAGAATTACTTTATTGCAAAACGAATAGTTCTAATTGTTTTAGGTATATTGAAGTGTTTGGTAGACACTGTAAGTTAAAAAGGAGTAACTGGAAAATGAAAAAATTTGCATAAAAAATGTGCTCAAGTTTCCGAAATACTCGGTGGCGTCGAATTTCTGGGATGTTTAAACCAATACGAATTTATTTCCAAATTTCAACAACCTGTATCTCAAAAATAAATCGTTTCCATGCACATGTTTATCGGAAATTTTATATTACTTTTTTTTTCAATGAACAGGAATTTTTGTTCAATACTAATTAATTACCCTGTACGATCACACAGCCAGTGGAACTCTAGTAACTTTTTTCTTAGAAGCATGGTGCTGCTGGAAAAGACTTTTGGTTTTTAAACTTGTTTCTATGTATAATACAGCTGAATAAAATCACTTTCCTGAAGAGATGGAGAAGTGTTTTTTCTTCAAAATCTAAAGTTTATTTTGCAAAGTGAATCAAAATTATGTGACAATTTACAAATATTTTTATATCTTTCGGTTGAAATTTTTTACGAGCTACGGTTATATGCAATTCTAATAGAGCGCGACAAAAAAATTTTGCAAGACCACGGACTTGGAAAAATATTTTTCAGCTATGTCATTGCATGGCATAGCTCATTTATTCAGCTTCAATTTCCTTTTTTTTATAGGAAATTTATTCCAGTTTTCGAAACTGCCCTTCAATTCTCTGTATGACCATTTGTCGTCGAGATATCGATGATTGAAGACAAAAGGATCCTTTTCCATTAAAAGTTCGATATTTCGATGACATATGGTCGTATCGAAATTAAAAAAAAAAAGAAAAATGAAACTGAATAAATAAGCTATCTCGTCCATGCAATGGCTTAGCTGAAAAAAATTTTTACAAGTCTGTGAACTTTTTAGAATGCAATTAGAATTGCATGATAATCGTAGCTCCTAAAAAAATTTCTACCGAAAGATCTAAAAATTAGAATCTTAGAGTTTCAAAATGCTTTTTTTTTTAATTTCCGATACGACCATTTTTCACCTAAATATAGTCTGTCAAAAATCACGGAAAAATTTCGGAAATTCATTTGACCCTTCAATTTTTTGCATTAGTTACCGGTTTTCAAAAAAAAGAGGTTCAAATTCGTGAGAGTCTATTTATTATCAGATAATTATTTGACCACTAATTTCGGGGTCTACATTAAATACCCTATCTTAAGGTCACTTATTCAAGTTTTTAAGGAAATTATATTTAAAATCTTGAATCCTTAAAAGTGATCTGAAGATGGAGTGCGTAATGTAGACACGAAACTAGTACATAGTCAAATAAAAATGGTTTGTCGGATACTGGAGATTCTTTTTTGAACACCAGTAATAATGACCTTACACTTGTCACTTTTGCACTTATTAAAAAAATTATTATCAACAGAAAAAAATCTTACAACCAAAAATGTTACATTGATTTAAAAAAATTGGAAAATGTTAAGGATGGTCCATCAAAGAAATGTAAACTTGAGTCATAACTAAAATTATAGAAAAATATTGCATACGCCACAGGATTGCATTACAAAAAACTGAATAAATAATCTTTTTACAGATATAAAAAATTCTCATAAATAAAGGAGTTTATTTGATATCACAAAAAATTACCAAAAATTAAAAACGCCCTATATATCAGAATGTGGTATTCGCTGCTCAAATATTTTTTGGAAAATTGAGCCAAAGGAAAATGACTAACTCTCCCAAAAGTGTGGAAATTATAGTTCCTTCTCTTCAACCAAAATTTCTTATCAGTAGATTTTTTATTCGGTTTTTTCTTGAAATGTAGCGAAATGTATTCACAACGCTTTCTGTAATAGTTTTGGTTTTTGAGTAATAACTCAAACTTAAATTTTTTTTAAATGGAACACTAATTTCTGTTTTTAAAATCTACATAAAAATTTTTTTCACATTATACAATTTTTTTTAGATTTGTATTCGTTTCCTGATAAAATATGAGTATGATCTGACATACTGATAGAAAAATTGTATGGCTCACTGGTTTGGATCATAAAACAGTTGAATTATAGAAAAACAATTAATGTGTATCATGATATATCTTGGAAATGTGATTTTCTTGAAAATGATTGATGATAAGTTATGAAAAGTAAGAAAAAAATTATACACACTCAGATGAACTTGAACTTTTTCTATATAAACAAATGAAAATCATTTGAAATTATACACCTTAATATACAGAAAACAACTAAAGTTAAAGAAGTGTTTATTTGGAACATTTTTCTTCAAAATGATCGACGTTATTTTGCAAAATGAATCATATTTGACAATTTACAAATATTTTTACCTTAGTGGTTGAAAATTTGTATAACATCGATGACGTTATGGAAATCGTCACATAAATATGATTCAGATCAACCATGTTGAAGAAAAATGTTCCAATGAACACTTCTTTAACTTTGTTTTTTATAGATCAAGTAGTCCAATCAGTTGGAAGTTTTGCCTGTGAAGTTTTAGGGGAGTTTTGAAAATTGGTATGTTTATAGATTTTGACGTGCTCTTTCCGAATTTTTACTTTGCCACCTCCTTTTTTTCGGAAATAGCCGCCATATTGAAAAAATGGCACTCCAAAACAGTTTTTCGACGATATTTCCTTTCCGACTCACTTTACGGTGAAAGTAGTTATGTAATAAATTTAACTGGAGATCATTTCCTATAATTTATGTATCAACCTTTTTTCTGTGAAATGAATAGTTTTGACGTACGACCGTCGCAAAGTCTACTCCAACGCGTATTGGCCAACAAACTCATTTCCACACCACCATGAGGTAGAGTTACTGGCGGGTTTTTTTTTAATGATATCCCCAGTAGGCCTAATCCACATGTTATCACTGTTGACTAAATTTAGTGCATTCTCCTTCGCTTCGCTATCCCTGATGGACCAGGTTTTGCGAGTTCTTCGTCTACAGAACTGAGCAAAACCTCACGGATAGGAAGGTCTTCTAAGTTATCCGCGATAGGGTTCTCTTCTTCGACTTCATCACCTTATTTCTTCCTCGATTTGGAGTATACTTTGCGGGGCTCGTACGCCAAAACTATTCATTTCACAGAAAAAAGGTTGATACATAAATTATAGGAAATATTCTCTAGTTTAATTTATTATATAACTATTTTCGCCGTAAAGTGAGTCGGAAAGGAAATATCGTTGAAAAACTGTTTTGGAGCGTCATTTTTCCGGAAAAAAAAGAGGTGGCAAATTAAAAATTCGGAAAGAGCACATCAAAATCTATAAATATACCAATTTTCGAAACTCCCCAAAAACTTCACAGGCAACTCCTTTTTTGAGCACCAACTGATTGGACTAAAGGTCGTGACTATGAAGAAACTGATTTTCAATTGTTACCTACATTTGAGAGACAGCTACTGAGAATATAATACCGTTTTCAGAATTTAATTTTTCAGTCGGTTTTTGAAAAAAAGTTTGAGTAAATACCATAAGACTGATAGAATTAAAAATTTTATGCAGATTTCAAGAATGGAAAAATATAAAGGGTGGTCCATTAAAAAAAATAACTATTTGTTACTCGACATCACAAAAAATTTGTTAAGCAAATCACGACATCGAAATGCAGTTTTTCCATTTAGAAAATAGAACTTGAGGTATTTTAATTACTTTCTGTCTGTCTCCCTGGCAAATACGAGAAACCCAGCTCATGTAACACACTACCATTAAAGGAATTATTTTAACTCAAACTTCTCCCGCAGGTAAAACGTACTTCTTCAAGGGCAAGGGCTTCTGGAAGTTCAACGACGTCCACATGAGGGTGGAGCACATCGAGCAGAGGCTGTCCGCGCCCTTCTGGATGGGCTGCAGCAAAAACTACGAGGAGAACGATTTGGGCGAGAAGCTGCCCTACAGAGACATGTACAGGGCGCACAGCAGCGCCAGTACGAGCGGTAGTCTACACGCTTTGGCATTGGCGTTACTACTTCTTTTAAGCCTAAGGTTAAATTCTTAGTTTGGATTAAGTGGCAAGGGGGAGAGTTCGATTCGAAGGTGTTCCACTTACTCAAGTACGGCGTACTTTTGATAAGTGGGAAGACGAGACGGCTCAGGCAACTGTTCTGTGTAGAACAAGCAGAGAAATAGTCCTCAAAATTGGTTCGGGCATGTCATTTAATTAAAAACGTGTTATGGAATCGATGGGGCAACATTTATTACAGCCAACAAAAAAAAAACATTACTGAAGTGTGTCATATCACAAAGGATAATAAAACTGTATTTTTTAAATATTTTTGGAAAATTTTCAAAATTTGTCTGTTTTTGAACGGATTCTAATTTATCTGATTTTCTGGCTAGACTGTTGCTTCCGGTTAAATTAAAAAGTACTCTGTGCAATGTAATGTACAGGATGTCAAGCAAAATAATGTAACGAATTTTAAAAATTAAGTTCGTACGAGCTTCACAAGTTGACTATTCTCACTTTTTTCAAAAGCTTGACCAAAAATTCGAAAAGTTTGATCTATGAAAAAACCGTTACTAAATTTCGAATTCAGATTTAACATTTTATCCTCAAACTAAAAATATTGACTTAAAAACACAAAATTTTAAGTTCGTACTTGAAATTTAAACTCGAAATTTTGAGTTCAGAACGAAAATATTTAGTTTGAATTCGAAATTTTGAGTTTGTACTGAAAATATCAAATTTGACTGAAATTTTAAGCCTGAAACTCAAATTTTCAAGTTTGAAATACAAAATTTCAAACTTAAACTCGAAATTTTGTGTTTTCAATTTCTATATATCAAGTTCAATCTAGAAATTTTGAGTTTGAATTCAAAATTGAAACTCCAAAATCAAATATTCAAAATTTCAAGCTCAAGTTAGAAAAATTCTTATGGGCAATTTTTGCCCAAGTGCAGAAAACTCAAATTTCAAATTCAACCTTGAAATTGTGAGTTCAAATTTAAAATTATGACTTGAAACGTGAAATTTGAAACGGTCTAAATTTAAAAATTCTAAATTTGAAGCAAAACCCAAAATTTCAAATTTAATCTCGAAATCATCTGTTTTAAATTCTAAATTTCAAGTTTGAAACTCGATATTTTTAGTTCAAAGTTTTGAGCGGTCAGATTCAAAATAGAGATTTTATAAGTTGAACTGAAGATTTTGAATACACAATGTTTTAAAAAAAATTTACATACCAAATTCCCAATTCGAATTTGAAATTTTTTGCTCTCAATTTCAGAATTTCAATTTCTAGAAATTTTGAGTTTGAATTCAAAATTGAAACTCCAAAAATTAAATATACAAAGTTCCAAGCTCAAGTTAGAAAATTTCTTTTGATCAATTTTTGCAAAAAAGTGTAGAAAGCTGAAATTTCAAATTCAACCTTGAAATTCTGAATTCAAATTTAAAATTTTGACGAAACATGAAATTTGGAGTTTGAAACATGAAATTTGAATTTAATAATTCTAAATTTGAAGCAAAACCCAAAATTTCAAATTCAAACTCGGAATCATGTGTTTTAAATTCCAAATTTCAAATTTGAAACTTGAACTCAAAATTTTTAATACACAATTTTTTAAAAAAATATTTACTTCCAAATTACTAATTCAAATTTGAAATTTTGAGTTCAAATTAAGAATTTTGACTGAAATTTGAAATTTCGAGTTTGAATTTAAACTCGCATTTAAACTCACAGTTTTGACTTTGAACTTTCATATTTAAACTTGAAATTTTGAGTTCAAACTGAAAACGTCTGTTTTGAATTTTCAAATTTGGAACACAATATTATAAGTAAATTTATTCCCACATTTGAAGTGAAACTCTTAATTTTATGTTTTAAATTCAAAATTTCAATTTCAAACTAGAAATTTGAGTTCAAACTCAAAAGTTCAAGTTTAAATACGAAATTTCAAATTTAAATACAAATTAAAAAGTAATCTTTCTACGTTTTCATACATTTTTAATAAAAAAAAGTGTTGTTTCAAATGTGAACAAAGACTTGTGTGGAGGAGGGGGCGGTATATTATTCATGGATTTATCTAAAGACCCTAACCACATTTCAGTTCAGGAATGAGCGATACCTGGAAAATCTCATTGATTAGGGAGATAGTTAAGTGAATCCTACCATACTGACAGACACAAAAATAATAATGCAATATTTACTAAACAAGTTTCAACCAATTATTAACAATACGTTTCTTTCATAAGTACGAATATTTATTTATACCCACGACTGTGGCAAAATCGTTATTGCCAGCCCGCAAAGTTCGTTACAGTATTTTCTTGACACTGTATTGAAACTGATGATACTGCCTTTGACACTACTTTTCTTCACTGCCTCTTTGCACAGTATTATTTGTCTTCTGTGTGTACTAAAGAAATTCATATCTATTTATTTGCTTTCATCTAAACGCTTCAAAACAGCCCGAGTACCAGCGGTTCTCAAAATTTTTAAACGCATAAAACAATCGAACATACCAGAGATGCCTAAAATGTTGCGTTTTCAAAACAATCGATATTCGTTCATCCTACGAGGTCATAGAAAGTTTGGAGGATCCTGGGAAGTGTCGGTGTATAATTATTTGCTCTATGCTTACCTAACATTTCATTCGGATATTTTACATATCATTTATTTAATTAAAAGCAAAAAATTAAGACTGAAATTCAGAAATTAACACCACCCCGTTTGCCTGCGACGCGTAATCTATTCAAGAACTTTGTGATAAAAAAGTTAGGTTTTTCAATTTATTGTTTACTTTTATTTAATTTTTTTAATTATATCGATAATCTACTATTTCTAGCTTTTGTAATCGTGAATTTTATAATTATTGCTTAAATTACTGTGATATAAATAAATATGTTAGTGTTAATTTTTCCACTCCACCAGTGGAAACAAACGAAGCTTGCTTTGTCCTTTCAAAGGCTTAAAAAAAGTAACGCGGACTGCTTCAAAGGACAAAGAAATTTATAAAAAGTATCCGGTAATTTGCTTGTATGGAATTTTTTGCTTTTTCAAATACGTCCGGCGGTTTTGATCCTTTGAACAGTCCGTGATTGTTTCCGCTGTGGGGAGACCTTCTAACAACTCTTATTGAAGTACCATTTCTGTTTAAGTAAGATTTCTCTTGAAAAAGAAATCCACCAACTTTATGTAATAGTAAGAAGGGAACGTTTTAGTTCTGCATTTATTGAACCAGTAAAGAAATAAGAGATGTAAGTTATGGTTGTTTAATTTTATATGACTATTTTATTTTAATTTGTAAATTTCCCTAAGTGTATATAATAAATTGTATTTATAATTCGAATTGACATGTAATAAGAGTAAATAAATAAAATATAATTTTATCAGCAGTTTTATTTATTTAAGCAAAGATATACTTACAGGTAGGTAAAAATAAAAACCTCTATTCGAATCAATCGTAATAACATAAACAAATGTAAAAACAATTCAAAAAAATATATTTAATACATTTATACATAATATACACAAAAAAAAAATAGTGTGGCATGGTAAGTCTTTTTTTTTTCTAACTTAAAAATTTTAAAACCTTAAAATTACACGATTAAAATCAAATATCCCAGTCATACGGTCAGTGCACCTTTTGTCTAATACACCCAGTCGAAAGCACTAGGTCAACAATCGCAAAATTACATTTCAAATAAGAATAAAAAGTACCATTTACATAAAAAAAATTAACCTGGTATACACCCAACGCTGGAAAAATTAAAAGCATTTCCTATCTACGAAAACTCCCCTAATAATTTCGACCAGGCCAATATATACAATTAGTTATAATGAATAAGAGTTCTTTTGAGGGCAAAGTGTTTTTAGATGATGAAAGCAGTATACGTCTATTTTTACACATGTAATTAACGAGTCGCCACGGATATTAAAACGGTTCAAATAAAAACACCTTGCCGAAGCACGGTTAGTTCACATAATAGAAACGAAGGTTTGTAAAATAAAGTTGTTGATGTGTTAGTAACTATCGGCTATTGCAAAATAAGTGTATGTGTAATACTCCGAAAAGAAAAAAAAATTGTGAAATTTTTTTTACACTTTCATTTTACCTAAACTCGTAGATTTGTATACTGTTTTCAGGCACATGTGTCAAATTTAAAGATTGGAACCTAGAAGAGATATATTATTGTTTTCGATAAATTAAAGTTACGTTTGACTCACCATTCCGAACTCCTGTGATAATAGTAGCCTTCGATGGTAGCCTTGGATTTTTGGAAACAGATATAGTAGAAACCGGCAAAGGATGCGCCACTGATATCTTTAATTGTATGGTCAGGTACCAAAAAGTGCTCTTTCCACCTCATGAAAACATAATCCGTATCCGCAAGTGCTTTATAATCGAAAGTGTCCGAGTTGAACGTTTTGGCATATTGACTAAATAATGAGAATTTACTCTAAAAACAAAAATAGGTGGAGGTATGATAACACAAACTAAGCTTATCGTTTTAATTATACGTGCAAGAACTTACCCAGTGTTTCCTATCTACATCTTCATCGGCATCCCATTTTCTGGTAAGAAAGGGGTACTTTTGGCTAATAATTTCTCCGTCAAAGAAAGTGGTCAGTTTTGGATATTCATCAGTGAGCCCGTTGATTTGCAAGTATCCGCATAAATACGAATTTTCCTCATCGACATGCTACAAAGACAAAAAACTTTCTAAGTACAAATGTCAAGGTGTACCCAACATATGTTGTTATTTATAGTTTTCCCAAAATAAACGGAGAAAATTAATTACGCAATTCCAAAAGCAATATCTGCTAAGCCTAACGCACGTAGGTGTTTGAGTTTAAAGGGTATTAATACCTATATATCAAAAAGGAAAAAATTCTAACCTGCAAAACAACTTCGACTTCGTAACTATTGCCTTTGGACTTCTGGAACCCCTGGAATTTGGATCCGTTGTACAGCAACGACTTTGTCACACCCGGTTGTTTCGAATTTGCCGGTGGGGGAGGTGTGATATCCACCCTGACCGGCATTTTTTCGCAAATCTTTCCCGTTTTCCACCAAACGTCAAACACTTACTTCGCTAATCCAAAATGGCGACAATGGCGTTGCCCACGGTCATACCTCGAACTTTCTAAACAATGAAAAGTCACGTTGCGGGCATACAGCTAACCCCACAAGTTCTTGTTTTACGGGTTGCATAGAAATGAGACATAATTTTTAAGATTTAAATTTGAGCAAAAAATAATACAAAACTTAGCAAGCCTTAGCAATCTCTATATAGGCGTGATTTATACAGTCGAAAACAAGGCATGTTATTATCTTTGCTGTTGAAAATAATAGATAGGACCATAGGACGATCTAAAACAGTTATATACAGGGTGAGTCATTAATAATAATGGTACACAGCTTAATGGCAGATTGTTAACGTCAAAATATAGCGATTGAGCCAAACATGCCTTAATAAATTGTTGCTCCTTTTCGTTCTACAGGGTGTTAAAAATTTTTCGATTTTTTGCTATATTTTAAGCTCGTATGAACCGATTGTTTTGAAAATTTGTAGATTTACGTTTTTTGAAGTGGCAAATACAAATATGCCAACAGTGTTGGGGTCACGTCTAGGGGGCGCTAGTTGTACTGTCCTATCAATGTAAAAATATGTCTAACTTTTTGTATTTTACAATTTTGCGCAGTCTTTCGTATCATTTAAAAAAAAAGTGGCTTAGAAGATTTATTTTAAACAGTCGAGTCAATTTTCGAGATGCAGGTTGTTATTTGTAAAAAAAATGTCGCAAATAGGCAAATACATTGAAAGATGTTTGCCTTTACTTTTTACTCTGTTTCATTTATTCAAAGAACGAGTTATTTTTAAATTATTCTGTAACCTAAAATGAACACTACAACCTATGAATACACAATAGTATATTACGTAATAAGTGTTGTAAAAAGCATTTTACGCACGAATGGAAAAGTTGCACGACGCCGCGTAGCGGCGAGTGCGTAATTCTATGAGTGCGTAATTGTAATACACCACGTAATACGTACTATACTTTACCCACGACCACTACTTTAAATACTTAAAAACACACCGTCTGCGATCAATGCAAGATTCCTATTACGTCGTACGGTGAAAAATCGCACAGCTTGGTAAAAAAATCGTACAGTTTTCTTAGCAACCACCTAGCAACGGTCAATACAAACAGTATTATATTGACGTCGCTAGGCGGTTGCAAGGAAAACTGTGCGATTTTTTTACCGTACGTAATAGGAATCGTACATTGATCGCAGACGGTGTGTTTTTAAGTATTTACAGTAGTGGTCGTAGGTAAAAAATAATTACGAAACTATGTCAATCAAATTATTATATTTTTTTATAATTGCACTTAAAGTTAAACATTGCTAAACAATCTTATATTTTTTTGGTGTGAAATGAATAGTCTAGATATATTTTCGATTTATTCAACTGTATATCAAACTTATTTTAGACTAACAAATAATATTAACTTGAATAAACTTACATTTTAAATAAATTTTCTTTGAAATATGTATAATCTGCCAGCAAATGGTTTGATCGAATTTTCAAAATAGTCAACCGCGTCCAAATTCTGAGGCTCTTAGTGGATGGCTCAGTATTTCCATCATTGATTAACATATCAAACACCTCTCGAGGTATTTGTGCTAGTGCGTCATTTTTTAAAAATTAATGGCTACAAGGACATTTTCTAACAGTAGCTAGATATTTTTTTAGCGCGTAGTAATCATAGTTGATACGCAGACGCTGAAGATAAGTTACATGGCATAGAGCCATTTTGTGTTTAACAGTGCAAAAGGTCCAAAATTATACAGAGTGTTCCATCTAATAGGGATTCTTCTGTAATTCTGTAACTGTAAAATTTATAAAAGAATGGTTTTAATAAAAGTTGTATGGAATTATGTGGGACACGTAAAGAAAATATTTTTAGCTTTACGGGGTGTACCATTTCACGTAGGCGCTACATAACTTTGTTATTTTAAATAGAACACCCTGCATATTATTGCGTTTTTTTAATTCTTTGGTTAATATTAGGTAGAGTTCATTAAACGTACATGTTGTTTAAAACTCACCGTTTTGGAGATAATCAGTTGTTTTTTAACAAAATCACGATTTCAGCTCGCTAAATGAGATTAGATAGCGACTAAACCGTAAGAGTTAGAAACCTGCAGTTACTATTAGGGTTGCCAAGCGTCCTCCAACCAGGAGGACAGCCCTCCTTTGGGTCAAAATGTTCTCCGTCCTCCGCAGGTACATCGGAGGAGGCAATCTGTCCTCCTTTACACTAAAATGTTCTAAAATTCCAAAAATACGAGAAACATTAAGATTTTATTTATTGGCGCACAACCTGGCAACGTTGAATGATCACAACAGACAACAGCGATCTACCATTTTCAATTTGGCATAGTTACAAAACTAGTCAAAAATGGTCATTCATTTTTCAAAATATAACGGGGCTCGAAAATGTATTCATTCTGATTTATTTTGCTCTAAGCATTCCTGCCACTTCTGCGCTTCCTGGGCTAATTTTTTGTTTAATGATTAAGTGGCGGGATGAAAAAAATAAAGCCTTGTTGGATTTAATAAAATTAAAACTAATTGTCTCTGCTAATTCCGAAAACAGAGTTTTTTGATATTATTAAACCAGATGAAAAATTTTTGGATGCAGTCAAAAGCAAAAAAAAATATAAGTTTAAGGTAAAATATTATGTTTTTTATCGAGTTTATTTTTTGTTATTTTTCAGAAAAAGTCTAAGTTTATTTTTGTTATTTTATTATTTTGTTAATATACAGGGTTGGCCAGAAGTACGGAATAAAATTCATATCTTTTAAATGAGTTAATTTTTTTTAAAACGCCGAAACACGTTAAAAAAAATTAACTCATTCAAAAGATATGAATTTTATTCCGTACTTCTGGCCATCCCTGTATGTTTTGTAAAAAAATATTTGCTGTGTTTCCTGATTATTGACAAATTTATAGGTACCTATAGATCAATTATTAATATTATTATTACATGATCGTATATTCTTTTAAGCGCTAAAAAATTCCTAGTGTCCTCCTTCAGCTCTCTTCCGAGTTGGCAACCCTAGTTACTATGTAACTTGATATTTTGTTTATAATTTTAACCTTCACAGTAAAATAACTTTTTTTCACATATTTTACAATAATTCTAGTTCTTACTGCTGAAGGTAACAAATATATTATTTTTTTTATGGATAGGAGGCACTTTGTGGCCCTTGGGAATGTCAATTTGTTCATCGTTCATCCAATCATAAGCAAAAATTTCGCTTGTCTACCGTTTCCGGATGGTCAGCTATGAATCCCAGATGACCCATCAGTTAAATCGATACTATATAACTAAATGAGCCCGAATTCTAGGCAACAGGTGGGAGACAATGGCAAGGTTGATCTCTATTTCGCGGTGCATATAAAACGGCTATTGTGATCCAGGGGAACTATTCCAAACAATTTTTGTTCGTTTTCAATCAGTGATTAGGTGCTCTGATATTCTACCTAACAAAATGAAGATCACTGTAAGTACTTGTACCTTCCCAGATAAAATTTCGAAATGTTAACTTTGTTTTCACTAAGTTTTCGGTTCATGTTATCCAAAATTTTAATTTAATTTTTTTTATGTATTGCAGTTTTGTATACAGTTTTTTTAATTTGAAATCTTATAACACCAAGTTAAGTGATGAGAAGCTTGTTGTGTGTTTCCCCTAAAATTTTGATGATAATTTTAATTTAAGCAATTTTTTACAAATTTTGAATTCATAAAAAAAATTACTTAAATAAAACTTTTGTGGTATTATCTTCGTATCAAAGTTTTTTTTCAAAATCTTTTAAGACTAAGGCCTTTATTTCTATTTGAATATTGTACCCTATATACGGGATTTTAGTAGATTACTTTAATTTAAATTATCAGTTATAAAATATTTATACAATGAAATTAAATATAAAAAAACAAATGATATGAAGTAAATGTAATTTTTTAAATATTTTCACCTAATAAATGATTAATATTTTTATAATTTTTTTACAATTTATCCCAATTCAATATGAAGAATTACAGTTTTGTGATATAAGGTAATTTTGATACTCAGTTATAAACAAAAAGGAACTAAAATGTATAAAAATATTGAAAACTTATCACAAATACGTATCTTCAGACAATATCACGCGTGTGTAGTAAATGTATTTTTTTTCAAATATTTCCAGTCAATAAACGATTAATATTTTATGTGATAGTAAACTTACACTATTTAAAAGCTCATAAACAAAACCCAATAATATACAGTTTTGGTTTGATTCATATTAATTCTTACAAGCAACCTTGTGGTTTGTGGTCAGTTGACTGTATTCTAAGCTCCATAAAAGTAACATGCGATGCGATAAATATAAAATATTCAAATTCAAAGGACAATTTTATTTGTCAGTTAGAAATACAGAGTGGATGTTTTTTAAGGCCGTACTTTTTGGTACACAGAAACGTGTTTGGTACTCCTTTATTTTTTTTTTGGAACGCACAATTCGAATGAAGCATGTACTTTCAGAACATTCGTTATAATCTAGTTGGTAACCTATGGCTTTTTATCATAAAATTGTCTGACAATTGTCTTTTTTTTAATTAAAATCCTGACTTTCTTAATTGGTCACACTGTATATCTATTTCTATGGTAATGATTATGGTATAAATAACAACAAAAAGTAGGAAAATTCTATTCCCCTCTCGCGTTCTCTTATTGTATTCAAGCAATTTTTCAAAATTAATTTTTAAACTTGCTTTTTGAATATCCGTTAAAGACATTTTCTTTTTTTGTTTGCCGGAGCAACTTCAAGTAGCCACCCTGTATACGCAAATGTTGAGAGCTTGTTTGTAAATATCTTATAAGTGTGCATAATAAAATTTATCCTAAAGATTGATAAAATGCGTTCTACATTTGCCAGAAAATATTTTTATGACTTTTGCGCAACCTTCACAGTAAATATGTTTCTTGCGATTTTAAACAAAATGGAAAAGAACTGAGAGGCGGTATAAACAATTTTCCAATTATCGTTTTACCAATAAGAATATTACTTGAGGCACGATAATGATATAAAGATGACCATAACGAAATCTGGTTAGTTAAAAACGAAGTGTTGTGGTATCAAGTCAATCTCGTGTTTGTTCAGAAAAAAAACCATGGCGGTTTCTTTGATAAAAGTTCAGGTAGTGTTTAAAATATGCAAGGAAAAAAATATAGTTTATACATAATGGTCATTTTAAGGTTAAACATTTCGGATCATTTAATAATAATCTATAAGAAATACAGAGTTGATATTGACATGGAAAAAAATTGCACATTTTCTTGTCATTAAAGATTAAGTTGAAATCCTGAAAAAAATTGAGAATTTGACTATTCTTATTTCTTAGTAACAGTTACTTTTTTATTAATAGCACTAAATTGTTGACCTGTGGAAAGTTAAAAAAGTTTCAAAACCATTTGCCTATAATTTGTCATGTTCAGGGCCAATTTTTGTTTTTTATTAAGGCCATGTTATTTAAACAAAATTATGAGTTCAGCGATGTCCATAATTCGTTTTATTCAATCACAATTGCCATGATCAACAAAAGAAAACCTTTACTTTCAACAGATAAAGTTTCAAAGTGATCACCGTGTGTATACATTAAATTTTTGCTGTTATAGTAAAAGAAATTATTTAAGTCGACTTGAAGAATGTAAAATAAAATCTCAGTAGTTTTTAATAAATAAGGATTTACTTTAATTATGGTGTCAGGGTCTAAAACACTTTATATCTATTTTTTACAAATACATTACTCACAGTAAGCATGAATCATAACATTTTACTCTAATTTTCTGCGATAATTACAGTACGCATGGAATATTTCAGGTAAACATATAATCATGCCATTACAATTTAAATAGTGTTTGTGAAAGACGCGCCTAGAGTATGGCAAGAATTGTTGAATACATTGTTTTCCGACTTACAAAATTTCCTTTCCGCAAAGAAGACATAGCTTTGTTAGTACATTGGTTTGTTATTTAAAAAACGTTTGTATTTTAAGGCAAATACCAAAAAAAATGTACACGGATGTCATTACTTCCTACATGTACAATATTTGTGTAACTTTCATATTCAAGATACTAAAGTTTTCATCTAGGTACAACCTTTGTCTAAATTCTATAAAAAAAATAAATTGACTACGTTTAACTTGTTTTGCCGATCCCTGAGGTTTTCCGATTGAAATTAGAAATGCTTTGGTTTTCTGACAGAAAATAAAACATTACAGGTACATACCTACTTTTTTCAAGAATACTGTTTGATCATTCAAATTATAGCCACGTGTTGCCAAAAATTTGCCTTAGCTGAATTCCTCTTTACATCAAATGAAGCGTTCAAGTAATTCAGAGTGATTGAACTTATTGTTAGTTCAATGAACACGCTTTGAGCAACCACAACAAAAACGTCCGGATAAGACATTTCTTGATTGCAAAAAGTCTGCTCTTGGCGTGAATCATATCCAAGTCGACAGAGGTTCATTACCACCAGATTGCCGTTGGAGATGTAACACTGTGATAAACAAACGATAAATTGCAAATATTTCAAACATTGAGAAATCATCCATCCCATTTAATTTGTATCAACTTATAGACTGAAGACTGAGGGAAAATAGAAATTTTGAAGAACGCATAATTGATATATAAATATATACAGGCTTATTGGTTATAAATGTCAGTCAGTTTAGGCAAAAATATTTTTTAAGAACAGCTGTTCTTAAAAAAATTGTTATATTTTTAATTCAACACACTATATTATTTCATATTTGCATGGAAAGCTTTCTTGGGACTTATATACCTCTAATAAATAATAAGCAAGATATTACTATTACAATATGCAGCAGGTCCTACAAACTATATACAGGGTGATCTATAATTATTTTTTTAATCGGGATTTATTTTTACTTCTTTACAGTCGAGATATTTGAATGGTCAAAAATGTGTCATTTCTAAAATTTTCCATAGAATCAGAATATGCAGTCAGAAGAACAGTTGAATTTCAATAACAAAAGCCAAAAAAAAAAACGAATTTTCGAGTACATTTTGCAAAAGGGAATGCATTAATGCAGTATTCCAGCAACATTCATTTGTTCAATTTGGGGTTTGACTGGAAATTTATTTGATATAAATAAGTCAGTAATAAGTTTTGTAAATTTGTACACAAAATCGTACCAACTAAAAAAACGCACTTTAAAAATGTAGGTATGTTTAAAAAATTGAACAAGTTTCCAGGTAACAGTTTTTAGCATAGGTACTTTTCATTTTGCAAAATATTTGCTTTGTAACATATCAAAAGTATGACATATTGCGGGTTTCGCATTTAAAAAACTATCTGGAATAGCCAAAGTATACGAGGTTAAGATAAGTACAAGTGACACTAATTTCCTATCAAATAGAGAGTTAAAAACAACTGAATGGCTGCCATGGAAATGTTCAAGGGCGTAGCCAAGAAAACCTTAAAAAAATTGACATTAAAAAATAATTGAAAAAAATAGACGCGTCAGATATGATTCATTTAAAAAAAAACTGCCAACGATGAGAGATAAACAGTAAAAAATATTTTTGTATAATTTCAAATAAATAAAATATTTTCTATGAAAAATAATTTAATACAAAGTAATTTATATTTACGTCAGGAGATGTGACAAAAAAAGCACATGCCTAAAATTATCATGTTTACCAACTTTAATAAATTAAAATTAGATACTTATCTTAAATTAAATTTATTAATTTTTTGTTGATCAGTTATTATTTTTTATTTTTTAAATGTAATCGTCAGTTGGAGGTTTTTAAATAATTAATTTTTACCAGAGGAAGATTTTTTTTTATATTTTTTGCTTCATTAAATGAACCAGTGGGGGAAAGCGCCCCAATCTGCCCCACACCGTAACTACGCCCTTGGAAATGCTTCTAATATGTTCCTGTATCATTTTCTGCAAAATCTGTTACTTTTTTTTCTTAAAAAAAATCGATGATTTGGCTATATCTTTTTTAAATCGATGTTTAATTGTTTTTCTGATTGCATATTCTAATTCACAAGATATTTTATCATCATGTATGTATTATTCTACATATTATCTTGATGCGACATAAATCGCTAAAGTGAAAGAAAATAAAAAATCAGTATTAGTTTAAGTTATCATAGCAGTTAAAAATTTTAATTTCAACTGTCCTGATATACATCCAAGGTCTCGTCGTAGTCACAGCAATTTTTCTTCCATCGATCACTTTTTAAAGCACGGACGTGACCTGAATAGGTTTGTTTGGACCGCCCAACATTAAAAAAATTAAAATTCTCCCCCGACGTGTCTAGATTGCGGCACAATATTTTCAGATAGGTATATTTCCAAGGTTTCAATTATTCATAAAGCAATGTCTAATCAATACGTTTTAAAAGCTGATGCGAAATCAGTTCATTTGTGTCGCCCTGTATCAAGAATTAGAATTCCTGGCGGCAGCGCCCAATCATCTTCCACGATATTTTTTAAAACTGCTATGAATTTATAATGCCATATTACGGATCGATCACTAGCAAAACAATCGATCATCAAATTTCGATTTGCATGTCCCCTTGTATACGATTTGCGTATGTGCTTCGTGATGGTAAACAAAGACAAAGCAAACAAATATGAGAAATAAGGACCCTTGTGACCTTCTTGCCACGCATGACGAGGTGGACTAATAGCAGGATTATTTAAAATATGGCGAATTCGTTCGCATTTATGATTTTGTTTATGCGTGAGCGATGAAAGAGAATGGTAGTCCAGGACATTCTCATACCGAATGAGAAGAGATACATTTTCAAGGATTGAGAAACTCTTGTTTGTTTATATTACGCGGTAATTGTTATTCTCTTTGCGACACTGTCGTCTGGTTTTCCAGAATAGCTTGGCTATGAATAAGTTGTAAAATACGAGGATATATCATGACTCATATTCACATAGGTACATGTTTGTGGTTTGGTCGTAAAGAAGGATAAATAATAATATTGTATACATCTTCGTAATGCTAAGAATTCAAAATGACGCTTTTCCTGTTTTCATCCTTATAGTTTACACGAATTAAAAAAAACCTAAAAACCGAGATCTACGCCATATATATCTTATCAAAGGCGTCGCCAAGGGGAGGCAGGGGAAGTCAGCTCCCCCCCCCCTACAAACTTGAAAAAAGTATACAAATTTTCTTAAACCAAGAAAATATTGGAAATTTTTATTAAAATCTTTTATTTAGTTAAACTATAATTTTGAAAATTTAAAATCTACAAAACTATCTTAAAAGAAACAGTGGTAGTAAATTAGTATAAATACTTATTTGTTTGAGAAAAAAATTTTCAAAATATTAAATTTTATGTTAAGAAATATCTAATATGCTTTCATATTTTAAAAATTTTGTTCTTGAATTTTAAATAAAAAAGAAAAAAATATATCTATCGCAATCAGAATAAAAGTCTAACAGTACAACTAACTATACAGGGTGTTTCTTAAGTATAGATCAAAATTAATTATTTTGTTAATATTTTAAATAATGTATTAAAATATCGTAAAAATGCACTTGATCAATAAATCAATGTTGTTGTTAATCGGTTTGGAATACAACAAAGTGTAAAGAAACAAAAACTGAAGATAATACAGTGGCGCATATGATGTCCTACTTTATTTGTAATATTATACAGGGTGATACATTTTGCTTTTGGCAAATAATGATCGATGATACCCACACCTCCGCCACTGGTACGTTTCTAAAACTGGTAATTTTTTGTTTCATACCTATTGTCGTACTAAATGTGCACAACGAATTTGGTTGAATTATCTCAAGCGGTTTAGAAATTAAAAATTAAAAACTGATTTTTTTTTAATTTTTGACACGCTATAAAACCCCACATTTATATAACAAAAAACCCTTATTTTGGACACAGACTACGTCTCTGTATTTTTGACTACTTAAGAAACGCCCTGTATGTGTAACGAGCCAATTTTGAAGACATATGTATTTTGTAGGGGAAGCAAAACGTTTTTAATTTTGTAGGTTCACTCATAGATTTAAGAAATTTATATATTTCTTAGTTATTTATAATTTTTTTTATAAATCCCCCCCCCCATTGGCGACGCCCTTGCATTATTATTAGGCATAGAATTGGAAATTAAAAAATTTGGCTTGTATCTCCAAAATGCAATATTCAATAGTTTTTTTTAAGTATAGTTTCGATATCACAAGAAAATTTTCTATAACTGAATGTTATTTATCAATAATATTAGACACTTTAAAACTTTTGAGCGAAGTTGCAAGTCAAATTAGAAATAACTTTCAATTAAGAAAAAATGTATTTAAGAAAAAGAGTTCAGATATATTTACAATCTCATTTTTTTATTTATTCGTACTAGAACAACGTTATAGCTGTTTTACATTGACAATTTATTGATGAATAAATTGACGAAGTTCTTCATGGATTAATTCACGAATTGATTGGTAAACAGTGTGGTTTTACAATGCTACAGACTTTATCAAGTTTTTTGACGCATGAATCAGTTCTACCAACGAGTCAAAGAAGCAAATAAATTTCAAAAATGTCACCTTTCCACTCATAATTGTAGTGATACAACAGCGGTACCGTTTTGACACATACTATATAAATATTAGTGTTTGTAAGTAACAAATCAGGAAAACAATACAAAACTAGTACGACGCTACACAATTATTTACATATTCCAATAACATAACCTCATTACTGATCTGAGGGTAGAAATCTGTTGGGTTGGTACTTCCGAACTTCACGAAGAAATTGACGAAAATTAGAACATGCTCTAATTCGTCAAGAATTTGATGAATAAATTCAAGAAGTTATTTGACAGCAGATTTGGTGCATTACACTTGTCCAATTTCTTGATGAAGCGGCTTCATGAATTAATTGATCAATAAATTGTCAATGTAAAACAGCTATTAGACTATATTTATATATTTTTTACGTAATTTTGTTCTTTGTGTTAACCTATTAACAATTTTTTTAATACTGTAAAAGCCAACATTATTATGAAATTTACTTTAATATCTACAACAATGTAAAAATTTATTCAGCAATTTTTTTTTTCAAAAATGTAAAATTTGGAATCCAAAAATACTAGTATTTATGGTTTTCTGAGTACTTAGTAAACGCAAGTATTATTGTAACAGATTTTATAAAGTTGGCATCACGCGTTTTTGATTTATTTAAAAATATAAATTTTTTTAGTTTCAAGGCATATATCTCAAAAACGGCGCATATTTGGATCAATTATTAAATGAACATTTTTTTCTCATTTTTACCTTATTAATATTTTCTTAAAACTTGTGCCCTTCCTCGCGGAAAACCCTGTATACTCTTGAGCAAAATTAATACGCCCGTTTCAAATACTTACAATCAAACGTCAATTTTATACAAATTAAAATTTAATTATTAATTATGTTCATGTGGTAGAACGGTATATAACACAAAATCACTGTTCCAGATTCTCTGCTTGTGTGCAATTCTAGCCGCAGCTCAAGCCGGCGGCTACGGCCTGCTCAACAGCGGCCTCAGCTACGGCTCCTTGGACAACGGCTACGACACCACCTACTACAACAGTTACGGAGGCAGCGCGTACAGGCCGGGATATAGCGGCTACTCGGGGTACTCCGGTTACAGGAGACCTGGCTACAACTCCTACAAACCTGGAGGCTACTACGGCAACTCCTACTACAACTCCGGGTATGGAGGCTCGGGAGGCTCTTATCCTTACGGAGGATCCTACAGCACTTACAGGCCTTACGGATACGACAGGTATCGGTCCATCATCCTTCTTAGTTTATTCATTTAATACACAGTGGTGTTAATTCTTTTCTTCCCATTTTACAATAAAAATATTGTTTGTGTAATCTTTAATTGTTATTTGCTTTCTAGTTATGATGGATACAGTGGATATGGCAAGTACGGAAGCGGTTCCAGCTTCTTGGGCGGCAACTACAGGCCCTACAGCGGTTATCAGCACAGCAGCTATTACAGGAAGTAGAACCAGTAGTGTGATATCTTTAACCTCGTTTTTAATTACTTGGTATATTATCGTGTTAACAAAGTTGAACTCATATTTATGTATGTATTGTATTTTCCATTGTGTATTATTGTAAATATGTGTAATAATAGTAATAAAAATTATGTGTTTTACGTGGTATGTTTTAATAATGTGACTCATTCAGCGTCCTCAAAGCATTTATATGACATAATTTAGATAATAACAATCATCATTGCATAAATATTTTCATAATAAAATTAAGACTTTTCGAAATGAACAATTTGGGGAAGTATAGTATACCCCGCATTAAAATTAATTGGCCTTAATTGATTTCTCACCAACGAAACAGAACTGATTGATTTTCGTCTTTGTTAGTTGTTCTTTCTCCTCTAATGTTTCCTTAATTTTTTTTCTGTTATGTCTACTTTTTCAAAATTTGTATCTCAATTATTAACAGACATAACAACGCGAGTAAAAAACAGTAATTTGTTTAGTTTGACATAAATATATTACAGAGAAAAAAGCTAGAGGTTGGTTTATATTAGAACGAAATTCCCAATTTTGATGCGAAAAAAAATGGTTGACACAAATTCCTAAAAAAATCATAATTTCAACTTTTTTGCGAATTTCGTTGATGTGTGACAGAACTCAAAACTGAGAGATAAAATTAGTGAACATAAATAAATAATTATTCCAAAAAATACCCTGGGGGAAATATAACTTAAGCATAAGCAAAAACTGATTAACCGTAACAAAATATCTGTTTTAAATACGCTCCAGAGAAAGGTTATAATAAAAGGCAGTTTGCTAAAGGAGCTTATTAGGAGTTAGAAACATTTTTTGCTAACCCTTTAGGTATTTATTGTTGCAATTTAATCATATTACGGTAGTTATAGTACAATTTTTACCCCAGCAAAAGTTTTTATTCCGTTTTTAGGCCTCCATCCTAGGATAACGAGTTTTATGATAATACTAACAAATATATTTTGTTTACCACAAATAAATCGCTTTTTAAACACCAACAAATGATCTTTTTGACATAACCACTTGGCTAGATTCAATTATTAACTTTGTCTTTAAACAAGATGTCTATAATTGAACAGTCTCACCATCCTCCTCTTTTTATTTTTAACTTTTTAAATACACAGGGTGAGCCATTAGTGTGGGAAAGTAAAATAGCTCCCTTGTTACTCGTAACACGGAAAAAAAGTTCATATAAAAGTATAAAATCAAGAAACTTAAAGTACAAAATTAATTTGAAACATACAGGGCGATGTTTAAAAACGGGACACGCCAAATATAACATTTTTTAAATGGAACACCCTGTATATTTTTAAACATATGGATTTCCGAGAAAATTCTGTATATGGCAATATAAACAGTTTATCATTTTAGTGCCATGTTGCCAAGTTATGTGGAAAATTCCTCAAATTTTGGAAAAAACATTACCTCGAAGAAGTTGTATTAACTTTCAGCTACTAACACGTGGAACAAAATAATTAGACAGTGTTATGGGTAAATGTTAAGCAAAGACTCCTATTTTAGCTAATATCGATATTTTATACAGGGAATATTTTATAATACGATCATTTTTAGCAAGTTTAAACTTGATTTTCTAAATTTTTTCTAATGGAACAACCTGTATTTTAATGTTCTATTTTATTCACATATCGGTCCACTTCAACTTTTATTAAGCATGTCCTATATATAAAATTGTTAGTTTTTAAAATATAGCAACATTTCTGAAAAAACTAAATTTTCTATTATTTTATAAAATACCAACTAACAAATATATTAACTAATAAAATTAACTCAAAATGGAATGATAAATTATGAACTGACAAGTTGACACAATGTGATAGTTTTCTCCAAAGCCATTTCGTGCGACCGAAAATAATAAAAATTAGGTTTTTCCAAAAATATTGCTATATCTTAAAAACTAACAACTTTTAACTGTAGAACATACTTAATAAAAGTTGAAGCGGACTGATATGTGAATAAAATAGAACAATAAAAACAATGTTCCATTTGAAAAATTTTAGAAAATCAAGTTTGAACTTTCTTAAAATGATCGTATTATAAAAAATGCCCTGTATAAAATATCGATATTAGCTAAAATATGAGTCATTGCCTAACACTTGCCTATAACTCTGTCCTGTCAAATATTTTTGCTCCAAGTGTCAGTAGTTGAAAGTTAATACAACTTCTTCGAGGTCATGTTTTTTCCAAAATTCGAAGAATTTTCTACATAACTTGGCAACCCCGCACTAAAATATTAAATTGTTTATATTGCCATATATAGAATTTTCTCAGAAATACATATGTTTAAAAATATGCAGGGAGTTCCATTTAAAAAATGTAATATTCGTCGTGTCCCGTTTTTACTCATCGCTCTGTATGATTCAAATTAATTTTGTCCGTTAGGTTTTTTGATTCTGTACAGCATTTATATAAACTATTTTTAACAAGGGTGTTATTTTACTTCCTCACACTAATGGTTCACCCTGTATATAGCAAAAATTGCAACTAATAACTAATTATAAATTTTACTTTGGTAGTTATGGATCTACTGCTTGATGACGAATGATCTTAGCTGTTCAATAGATAGTAGGGTGTAATTCAATGCTGGACTAGGTATGTAGTCCGCAGAGTAATTTTTTTCAAAATATATTACTAAAACAATGTCTTCATTTCTGAAAAACAATTACAATCAATAGAAAAATAAATATCAAAATTATTAGCTGATTACGAGAAAATTAAATTTGAAATTGTATACGCAATACAACGAGGTGTTTTGAATGATTTTCATCGGTTGGATTTTGTTTTTACTGAATTGAATTTTCATATAAAGAATCATCGCGGTCCTTCAATTGAGGAACTTGAAGCTGTTTTCCACCAAACATCCAAATAAAAAGCGCATTTTTTTAATTTTAGATAGGAAGTTTTCGATATTAAACTACGAGGATGTGATAATATAATATTTAGGACTTTTAAGCTGATATTTCGTAAAGTTTCGGATAATAGCATCACCCTGTATTTAGTACATTTACGTACACAAAAACAAAACTCTTGTTTTCAATGCGTATAACTACGCAATCTCAAAAAATCGTTTTGGCGTTCGACATCTAGCAACTGGGTCAGATTACTTAATCAAATTTTCCCGATTGCAATTTGGCTTCAAGTATATCGACCACAGTTGCGTAACCGCAACAGTTAAGGAACAATCAGTGGGAAGTTACTTAAAAGCATGAAAAAAACGTGGGAGTAACGACATACTTTCCTCTGGATAGAATTTCTGTGTCTGCACGTATCAATTTCTTATTTGTTTAAATTACAAATTACGAGCATGTGGATAAGATTGTAAAATTTCATGTTTTTCGTTCAATTGAACGATTAAAATTCGGGTCAGTGCTGCGAACGTATGACTGACGAAGATGCGAAAGATGTAGTAGAAGATGTACAGAGTGATACAAGGGACACGTAACAAAAACTAGCATTTTTTCTGGCCTTAAACTATGTATTTAGGTTAATTTAAAGTATCGCCTTGAGGGAATTTAGGATATCTAATATCTTGAAACACCAAAAAAAGTAATTCCTGCCCACAAACAAAGAAAAACTAAGTATATGGAACAAACCACAAATAAAATAATTTGTAATACCCAATGTTATGAGTTCAAATATGGTCAAGGATCTGTGAAAAACTTTATTTTGATAATAAATTAATCGACTGGGAAAACAAATTTCTGTCTAAACAGATACTGGCAAGAAAAATGTGATTGACCTTAATTTTTATATTATACTTTGTAATAACGCCTCGCGAAAATAAAATAGAATATACAAAATACCTTATCTGAAAACACAAAATTGTTAATTTATTTTAAATTGCAAACAAACTTTTTGGTTTAAGTTTAAAGGCTTTTGTCACACAACTCGTTTATTTGGTAAAAAAGTTTGCTTTTTTTATTAATGACAAAAGGAAATATGTTCGGCTGCAAATTATGCACATCTATCAAGATTCTCATACGTATGAAATAAATTTAATGTTATGTAATATTCCAATTTTTTAAACTCTCACTTTCAGGATTTGCCGTAAGAGATGTTTCTTGGCTTTCTATATTCAAGAAACGGTCTCGATACAAGAAAGGCGTGTTTGTTGTTGTGCTTCTGCTTTCATTTTCAGTGACATTCTGGTCTACGAATATGAAAAAGGTCAGTATAGGTGTGAATTACAACTACTGAAAATTTTATAAACGTGCAGGACCCGTAATTTAAAATAAATTTACATTTTCTTCGGTTTTTTTATGTTTGAAAAGGTACAGTTCTATAACATCCTGTACCTATTTGATCCGGTCTTGTAATATTTAACCAATTATGAAATATCGTTTCAAAATATTTTATTTTCTATAAAATAAACATAACAATGGTAAATATCATTAACTAGGTACAAAATTACTATTATTATAAGTTTTATGTAAACATTTTAATCGTGTTTTGAATTGTCTGTAATTTTCCCTTTAACAACAAAGCGCCTTTACATTTTTAACTCCAAAACAATAGTCCGTATTCATTACAAATATAATATATTAAAATAAATAAACAATGGTTGTGTAATAATGTTTAATAACTACCTATTGGAAAATAATATACTTTGGGAACGGAGACCAGCTAGAGAAAATAGGCACATTTCATTCTTCATAAAACCAATACCTAGTTAAATTAACTGAAATATTATGGGAATATTACTTGCAACGTATTATTTTTATTAAGGGCATCCAGACCAAACTCTAGAAAAACATTTAGCTTACACTGTTTACCGTTTAATGTTTTGCTTATTTGTTTAATAAGAGCTCATAATATTTTAATGTTTCCTTTCAATCGAAATGTTCGAGGTACATAAATAAGTACTCGTTTAATGGTTTCATGTGCACTGATCCGTACTGAGGTGATATGCGTTATTCTAAATTACGCAAGCATGAACAAAATATGTTTATTTATCGTTAAATTAAATCAACGCATTCAGTTGATTAGTTCGTTAATCTATACTATAAGCAATAACGTGTATTTCTAAAAAAATAATTAGAGACGAGAAACATTTCTTCTCGTTTTGTGATTACAATTCAAAGTTCAAATGACCCAATCACAAAGCATGCAAGATCACAATACAACATATTTAAATTAGATCACTTCAGCTGTCAGTTTACCAGTAGGTCTTTTGTATTTTATGTTTTATGCTAGTAGCACATTTGTTTCTATTCTGTGGTAGCACTTAGATATGTGGTAGCACTAGCCAGTAGGTCTTTGTTTTTTTTTGTAATCGATAAAATCTATCATATTTTATTTCAGTATGTATTTAGTTTATAATTTAAAACAAGACAAATTTTGATGTGCTAATGTGTGTACAGTTTATGTAAGTATTTTCAAATTTCTCTATGTCTTAACATAATTTTTAATTGATACGAATGAAAAGTCAACTTAACCTCAAAATGATCTTTTATGAGATTCTTCATACTCGTTTTTGAGCATATTATGTTTGATTATATTTCCATATTTCAAATTAGAGTTACTAAAAAAGAACCGACTTACTGTGGATACATATTTAATCCATAATAGAAGGCAAGATATTTTTTCAAGTTTATTTTAAAAATTAACCTAACCATGCGTATATCCTGCAACTTACATAGAAAACCACAAATTAAACAATTATCAGCAAATAAAAAATAATAAGTCAGTCTTTACTGGTCCGATGGTTTATCATATGTATGTAGGCTTGTGACTCACGAGGTTACTGTTATTAAATTCATTTACGAGTAACCTTACTGTTACAATCGTCTGAAAAATAGAATAGTGGAGGTAATGAATTTCACATGAACGATTGTCAAATTATCAATTACATAGATACATTGTATTAGTGCACAATTTAATTTGCTGTCACACCGTCACATTGTTAACAGTTTTTACACCCTAATTTATGCTGCACACAAGGTGTTATGAGATAGTAAACCAATAAATAAAAATGCATCAAACAATTAAATCAATCAATCAATTCAAATTAAATTAAGACAGTTTATACTGGAATTTAACTAAATATCTATTTACACAGTGTCCGTTTTCATTAATATTTTCAGCAAAACTTGTGTCTTGTTCTCTTGCAAGTAACTGCCGTATCTCAAGCAATTCTATATGAAGAGGTAGGAAAACACCTGCCGACTAACTATAACAATCATGACATACTAGCCAGGAGAAGACATCCCCTAGGTGGTGGAGGCGCTGGGGGCAGCTCGGGATGCAACTTCAACGGCATAAGAGGAAGACCAAAAGTAACCGGGTCGGGCAGGACTTTTTTTGATTTGCAATTCCTCAATGTAGGGTATCACGAGAACTACGAAATCAACTGTGGAAGTGGACATCCTGTTGCAACAGCAGGTGCTGGAAGCACAGGCCTAGGAGGTCAGAAACCTTTATTAGGTAACTGACGGCATGGGGGGAAGAATATTTTTTACAATCATTTAATTTTTATTTATAGGTAGTCTTGGAGGTGGACAAGGAGGAGGTCATGGAGGAATATTTTCTAATAAACCGTCCAAGCCTATATTGTCTATGATTTTGGCCAATAGGCCCCTACAAGGCATATTCAGTCAATCACAGTCACAAACGCAGACTCAAACAGGTAATTTTTTGCATTTTTTTTGTCCTGAATAAAAAATATTGGGAGTAATCTATAATAAAAGCGTTTCTACCTCAATATAAAACAGGCACAAGAAAATGAAACGAGAAATCAGGGATGTATCTACCAAATTTTTAGATACTGATAGTTCTAGTTGTAATTTTTCGTGATAGGAATTCTAGGTGATGCTCTATCCGGATTTGTCGGCTTACTACCAAAACCTCACGATATAGGCCAAGGATTAGGTGATGGAATTTCTTCCTTTATTCAAACCTTACCACAAATTGGACAGAGTTTCCAATCTCTTTTGCCATCATTTGAAAATTTTCAGCTCCCCAGTCTACCGTCCCTGCCACCTTTCGTTCAAGGTACTCTTGAATCAACTCAAATTAAATCACTTGTTTCAAAATTTATTATAAGTTTTTTTATTAATCACAAAAAATATTATCCATGATGGGTGGTGAAAATTAAAGTGGTCGTATTTTGACATTGAAAAGTGAAACCCAAACCGATTTTTAGATGTTTTCTGTGCCCCTATAGAAAATGATAAAAGTTATAATATGGATAACAATCCTTAGAATCCCGAAAAAATATTAACAAAATGAATGAATTTTTTTTCTTAATCAACTGATACAAGCAGGTGCTCTTATTTTTACAAAATTTAATTTTTTAGTTTTTTGGAAAACCCGGACATTGAAGAAAACAAAATCCAATTGTTTCCAAAACGGTATGAATCGGGGTCGAAATCTGGTTTGGGTCATCAACTTTTAATATTATTAAAAGTTGATGAACAAAAGCGTAGGACAGAAAAGCCGAATCGTGCTGGATAAAATTTGATTTTTTTTTTCTTCAATGTCCAGAAGGTTTTCCAAAAAAAAAAACAAGAAAAAACTCGAATTTTTTTTTTTTTTTTCATCAGTTTAAACGTTATTTTTTTCAGAAGTTTGACTGTTTGAAACAAAGAGACGGTTCGTTAGATCGAGATGAAATTTTACAGGGTTCTTTTGGGTATATCGAACTGTAAAAGTCATGCTCAAAATTAGTCATTTCGTGAATATTTCAAATTTAGCCGTCAATTTTTTAAAAAACCATAAATTACCCTTTTTTCCTGCTTTTTAAAATTCGTGTAAAAGATGAAAAAATATTTTTCTGAAATGTTGTGGCAGCATATTATAGGAAATTTATACCAGATTTCGAAACTACCCTTCAATTCTCCGTACAACCATTTGTCGCCGAAATATCGATGATTGAAAACAAAAGGATCCTTTTCCATTAAAAGTCCAATATTTCGATGAAAAATGGTTAGATCGAAATTTAAAAAAAGGAAATTGAACCTGAATAAACAAGCTATCTGGTCCATGCAATGGCTTAGCTAAAAAAATTTTTTCCAAGTCCGTGGACTCAGAAAAACAAGAAAAAAATTGCAAAATTTTTTTGTCACGCTATTTTTTAGAATTTCATGATAACCGTAACTCCTAAAGAATTTCGACCGAAAAATCTAAAAACTAGAATCTTAGAACTTCAAAATGCTTTTTTTAATTCCCGATACGACCATTTTTCACCTCTACAAAAATCACGGAAAAATTTCGGAAATTCTTTTGACCCTTTAATTTTTTGCATTAGTTTATTACCCCCAAAAAACTGACCCCTGATGTAAAGTTATATCCTGTATGCAGTGCCTTTAACTCGCAAATTTCATAAGAACTTTTTTGTCACAAAAATTCTGTGTGGACCTAGAAATCATCTAAAAAAAAAGTATGGGTCCCACTCTTCATTACCAAAATAAAATCACTTTAATTTTCGTCAGTTGTCGCTTAATATTATTAAATTTTTTATTACACTATCACTAACTTCATGTCAATACCATTTCTAACACAATTTGAACAGCGACATCAAAATTCAGTCATCCGAGGTCATTTAAATTGTGCAATATTGTACTATAAGATCACAAAAGGTGGTGGCTTGCAACCGAAACCACTACAAAGTTTTACTGGTTGCCTACAATAATCGATTCAAAATAGCAGGGAGTCAAAGTATGGCCATCAGCGGATCATCGCCTCCTGTGACCCAATCCCCAATTCCACCCGCAGTTGTGACCCCCGCAGCCCCAGACCTGGTTACCGAACCTACGGTCGATCCCGACGATATAATCTACAATGACGATATAAAACCAGTTCACGAAGATCCTGATGTTACAGGTCCCCATACAACCAACAAATTACCACCCGGTCAGTATCTGGTCGCTTCACACCCTCTGCTTGGCTCTTACACGCAGGACTTGTCCGAGTTTGACTACCTTAACCCCTTTAAGATTCATAAAAAGTTCGGGGAGGAGGTGGCGGACTTCTTCAGCAGCCTATTCCGGAGATAACCCACTTGGCATGAAAGTATGTTAGTAGTATTAATGTGCGCAGTAACTGTAGCTTTTAACGGGTATTATCGAATAGTGCTGCATAATTTTATGTATGATATTAACGTTACTTGAAAATACAGTACAACCTCTTAATAGTGGACACCCACGGGGTGTCCCTGTCCGATTTGTATAGACATGCGTGTTATTTTGAGATGGGGATAAATAACTAATGAAGAAATACCAGTTCATATTCGATGAAAAGTAATAAATCATTGCGTGAAGGGATCCAGTGCAATACGGTTTTAAGGGGTTTAGAAATTAAATAATTTCTTTATGCATTATGAAGGGACGAAGGGATCAGTTCACTTCTGGCACCCTGTTCCTACAAAAATCCCTTTATTCTCATAAACTATTTATTTTAAATGTAATTTATTATAAATCCAATTTGTTTTTTAAATTCCACATGTGTACTACATTTCACCTCTGTATGCGCCATTGTTGTTTACTTGTTTTTTGGAGTCAGTTTCTGATTTACGACCAAGCTCGCCAGGTTAATATTTGATGTTCACCGGCCCCTTCGTTCCCTTGGTTGCCCCCGGGGGCTTCCGGTTCTTCCCGGACCCCGTTGGTTTTCCGTTGGATTTTCGGTTTTTGCTTTCATTTCCTTTTTTATTTTGTTTTATCTTACGCCCCCTAAAAATGATGCCACGATTTTCCTTTGATAAAAAACCGACAATTTTTTGCTCTACTTTGCATCGAATACGAGCCTACTATAATTTTATTTAATAAACTAATGTTAAAATAAAGCACGCGTATAATCTACCAAAGATCTACTGCTTATTTGAAATAATCTTTAATTGTTATTTGTTTTGCTTTTTCTATGTACTTTTTCAATTTTATCGTTAAATATTTCTGATACGCCTTGTAGAACTTGTGAAATATTTTTAACAATATTAAAATAGCTACAGCTCAAAAATTAATATTTAAGTCCTATTAATATTTTATGGCTTCTGCAATACTTGAAATAGTAGGTACAAACTCCTTTTCTTCAATCTCAGTTTCGATTTGATCACTGATTTCATCAATACAATCAGTAATAAACTAATAGAATAATAGACAGTATAGATCTTGGATTTTCAGTTATTATTATCATCAATTATTGAGTATACTCTTCAATCTAAATCAATGACGTTGAAATTTGGAAATAAAAATGCTAAATCTTCCTTTTCACATTTACTTATATCCCATCATTTAAAACAATGACACATACAGCCGTTTATGGCATCTCAACAAGTCAATAAAATTACAGCAGTGACACACAGGGCAGTTTTGTACTCCGCAGCAAATTTTCTTAGAAATAACTAATTACTCGTCATTAGAATATGTCTAGTTTTGTCGGTGTCACAATGGGTATTGAGGAAAAAAAATATTGCTACGTTTACTTTATTTTCTCACCACCAAAAACATTTGTAATTTCTTCCTAACATGGGTTTTTTATAGCTTTATCACTATATTATTATGTTCCGTAATGCTGATTGAATTTCTACTTCACCAATTAATTTTTCTACATTGATTTTAAAGCCATCTATATCAATTGCCGATTATTTATTACTTATACAGGGTGCCCCGAAATTCATGCAACAAAATTTGGTCATAGATTCTTAAGACCAATTTAAGGGACCCGTATTTTTCTTTTTGCCAACTAGCCCCCTCTTTCGGAGTTGCAGCCCCCTGAAATCTGTCCCTAAGAAGTCTTTTTTATATCTCAAAACCATGTTGTACGAGAATCACTAAATTTGGTACACAGGGGTTTTATGACATGTGGAATCTCACAGTACTACGCTTTTTGGCGAGAAACACTCTAAGACATTTTTTCGTACGCCCCCTTGTCTTTGGAACCAGAAAAATTTGGTCGCAAATTTGATTTTTTTCTTAAATTTTTAGTTAGCTAGAAAGCCATTGAATTTAGAAACTTTTTTGTCTCTTGATATTTGTTTCGTAAAACGCAATGTTTTTGAGGAAAATGGCGAATCACGATATGCATTCCATCACATTTTGACATTTTTTTCGAAAACATTGCGTTTTACAAAAAAGTACAAAAAGACAAAGAGTTTCTAAATTTAATGGCTTTCTAGTGGACTGATAATTTTTAAGAAATTTAAATGTGACCAAATTTTTTTAGCTCCAAAGACAAGGGGGCCCATGAAAAAGTGTTTGAAGGGGATTCACTGCCAAAAAATGTAGCACCATCAGATTCCACATGTCATAAAACCCATGTGTACCAAATTTAGTGATTCTCGTACAACAGAGTTCTGAGACAAAAAAAGATTATTCTTTGGGGCGGATTTCAGGGAGCTATAACTCCAAAAGAGGGGGCCACTTGGCAAAAACAAAAAATACGGGTCCCCTAAATTTGTCTTAAGAATCTGTGACCAAATTTTGTTGCATGAATTTCGGGACACCCTATATTTTCCTATAGAATGTTTGTTCGTTTTATGGAGGGTCGGTCCACTATTAATGGATGGTAACATTAAAAACAACCTCACTGTAAAATCATGCAAAAGCAAAATTTTCCGTTATATAAAGATATGTGCTATTCAGTGGTGTCCATAATTAGAGGTTTTACTGTATCAAGCTATTCTGCTAATGCTTTAAAAAATTACACAATTCACTAAAAATCATAATGAATACTAATAATACTTGTATCTCCGTTGAAAATTGAAATTTTGTTTGCAGGTGCATATTTTAATAGACAGTATGCTCAAAACAGGTATCAGTCGTACAAAAACTATCTCGATCAAAAAGTAAGTGCTCAAAAAAATCAAAATAGATATCATTATCAACAAAACACGCCTCCGTACGGCCAAAGGGAACCTCGACTAAGGCCAGACTTGGACATTTACAGCCAAGACGAGGGAGAACCTGGTCGCTTTTATAACGAGAGATTGGGATCGAGGAAATTTCGGTTTCCAACATAAAAGGCTGTAAAACGTTACGCTTAATGTTTATTAAAAAATATATATATAAATATGTAAACTTTGAGTCCAAATTAACGCACTGTTAAAAATGGGACTCAATTCGAAGTTGATTTTCTGATAAACGGCTGATCTGATTTTAACAATTTTTTTTTTAATTATTTAGGGTTATTTTTCAGTAACAGAGCAAACGTAAAAATGTTTATACAAATTTCAGTTTTTAGCATATACAAGGTGCCAAAGGGAAAAGGTTTTTTTCCTCGTAATTTGCAACACCCTGAAGTTTTCCAGAAAAATGCAAAGCATAAGCGAATGTCTAGTAGTCTCATCTTTTCTGAATATTTGTTTTTTGATTTACACTATACTGTACTTATTTTCTCTTACGCTAAAAACTGAAATTTTAATATTATTTTTTATTAGTGTTGTTACTGAGAAGTAAATCCATAATTCGAGAAAGTGGTGGTGAAAATTAAAAATGTTCACATAAACTTTGAAATCGAGGCCCGTTTTTAGAAATGCATTAATATCGACACGAAGTATATCTGAATTATAATTTAGAGGTAGGAACACTTTGTAGTTAGAAATAAATTATTTTTTTTTAAGAAAATCGCCATCAGCATTTTGAATTCCAAAAGCACCAAAATAAATACTATCACCGCCTTCGATCGTCGCTCCTATTTCCAAAATATTGCATGGTCCTGTATTAAATATGTAAACCCTAAAAAAAAATACGACCTCCATTATTCGCATTCATAAAGAAGCAAAAGCAAAAAAATTGTGCTTTATTATGAAAAATCTTAAAAATATTGTCGTCGATTTGTGAAGTTATTATTATGTTGATTTGGTAAATAGTTTTTTTAATCCAGAAAAACGCGTCTAACAATTTTTATTCTCGAGTTCTGTTAGCCCCGAAATCGAACTTATGCTTCGATCCTGGGCCCAAACGCACCAGCCGTTGAATGACTGCCAGAATTCGCTTCCAGTCGGTTTGCTAATTTACACAATCGCAATTCTCCTTATCCCTGCCGTATTTCCCAAGTTATGCATATGATAACGGGTTTTCCAATAAAGGCGGGTCGATGTTGAAATGGAATAAAACAAGTTGTGTGTGAGACATTAACAACATTTTTTTTATTTGAAAGGCCCATGTATGCCATTATGTATGGAATATGATATCGTTCAAATGTCCGGCGCGCCTTTGCACGGTAGCACGGATCCGAGAGGTCCAATTTTGAATGACTTTGCCGCATAGATCCGTCTGAATTTGAGCGATGGCCTGGGTTATGTTGTTTTTGAGGGCATCTGTCGATTGCGGCTTCAGAAAACCCCACAAGAAAAAGTCTAGCCCGGTCAAATCCCACCATCTTCCTCTGCGAGAGATAACCATACCCTCAAATCGTTCGTGCAGAATGTCCATTGTGGCACGTAGTGCCGTCCTGCTGGAACCATGTCCACGTCCAGATCGTTCAATTTGGGCCAAAAGAAATTGGTGATCATTGATATGTAGCGCTCGCCATTGACGGTGATGGCCTCACCAACGTTGTTTTCACAGAAGTACGGACCAATGATTCCGCCGGCCCAAAATCTGCACCAAACAGTAACTTTTTGTGGATGCATTGCCACCTGGTGAACCTCGTGTGGGTTGACGTCGTCCCATATACGTCAATTTTGCTTGTTAACATAACCATTCATCCAAAAATGCGCCTCGTCATTAAAGATGATTTTTCGACCAAAATTGGGGTCCTCTTCCAAATGCTCCAAAGCCCAGTCAGCGAACAAACGGCGTTGTCTATGGTTATTAAGTGCAACTCCTGGGTCAGTTGAATCTTGTACGGGTGCAGGCCCAAGTCCCGACGCAAAATTTGCCAAGTTGAAGTCTGCGAGAGTCCAAGTTCTTGTGTACGACGAGGGATTGACTGCCTCGGGTTCTCCTGCACACTTTGACGTACGGGTGTTGGTTGATTGTTGACCGAACCAGTCGTCTCGAATTTGGCCACCAAACGTTGGAGAGACGACTTTGAAAGGCCACCGTGTCTCCCGTAAAATGGGCGCAACGTTTGCACTACCGAACAGTCATTTTGATAATCAAGATTTACCATTTTGATGTGCTGCTGAATCGTGTAACTTGACATGATAATTTGGCATCAGTGACTGAATAATAAACAGATTTAACAGATGACAAAAAAAAAAAACATGGCCGTCAGTGACTGTCAACATCGACCCGCCCTAATTGGAAAACCCTTTATTTAAGTGTAGTGAAAATTACACTGCAAATTCTTTTTTTTGCCCCCGCAATAAAAATTGCAGGGTACTGAATTCTTTTTTAAAAAAATAAGACACTTGGTGCTTCCCCGTTGAGGATTCGAACAATACTGAAGTAAAATAAAGCCAAAAGTGTTGTTACAATGCGGGACACTTCCCCGTCGATGGTTCGAAGTTAATTGACTCTACACTGAAATTAAATAAAGTTAAAAATCTTTGTTACGATGGACGATGCTTCCCATTGAAGAGTTAAGAGTCGAAAATAAAATAAAATGAAGCCTAAAAGTCTCCGTTCCGATGAGCAAAATTTCACCACTGAAATTAGGGAGGGAGCTAACTGACTTGAACAGCGAAATTCAATGATTTTTATAACAAATTTTGCAAACGCTTTATGGACACGGCATCGTAAAAAGAATTCAACAACCGTTAAATTCCGACGACAATATTAAGACTGACCTGAGTGTCCATTCTTCCTCTTCGACCATCTTCAAATATCTCCGCCTGACACTGTCGTACACATCGTTCGCTTCCGACGGGTTCACTTCCAACAACGATGCGTTATTCACAGGCTCATACTTGTAATCCGCCAGTAATTTAATTTTCCTAAATTTATTATTCAAGCCGCACGTTAAAATAGTCACCGATAACTTCGCTTCTTTATCGACGTTTTTCGTGAGGTGGAACACCACAGAGTTATCGGCGATCTTTAAATCACAGACGAACAGATGATGCACATAGTCCACGTTCTTTCTCAGGTCTTTTTTTGTAAGCAAGCACGTGTTTCTAGAGCCTAGCGTCACGGCTTGGATGCAATTGCACTTGTTGCTTAAAGTGGTGATGGTTTGGTATGTCTCGATGGAGGGGAGATTTTTGGGGTGGAGGAACTTCGACAATTGTTGTTGTTGGTTGAACATGTTGTAACAAGCCTTAAATGACAAAGAATGTGTTAAAAAACCAAGCAGTTTGCAATGAAAATCGACAAAAATCTCAGTTAAAAGACGTAGGTGCGTTTAAGGAAAAAAATAGGTAAATCAGTTTTATTACCTTGTCCAAACCGATGTAAAAATTTGTAGTGAAGTAGTTATTTATAGGATGGGTGTAAAAGTAAGGCCACAAACTGCACCAAAAGGCGGAATCCCTGTTTAAGAACTGTTCGAAAAATATATCGTTTCTTTCTAGCGTCTCATGTGTCCAACCAGGTGCGAATATTGCTATTGAAAGATTGTAACGAGTCACCACTTCTGCTGCCTGAAAAATGGTCCATTAGTTTTTTTTCATAAATGTTTATACTAGAGACCAAAGTTCCCTCCAAGCTGCAATGGCTGCAAACATTTTTCGAATGTTGTGGAGCCATTTTTGTATTCTGCACACAACGGGCTTGTTCCCCATTTTTTTAAATTTCGGTTTATAAAACAATTGCTTCTAAAAATGGCAAAAATCCAAATTTCACAAAAAAATTAACGATAAAGTAAAAATTCTTTCTTGTGCTTTAAAATCAAATTTTCAAGAGTATTTATTAAAAAAAAATTGACTTCAAACACAGACACAGAACCTTCCTCCTACTTGAATACTTTTACATACATTTTGAACATTTTTGCTCCCTTATAGTTTTGTATTGCGCAGTCAGCGAAAAATTAGAGGAAACATTGTTAAAGACCTAAAACTGTAGACAGTCTCAACGTGTAGATTCACTCACAGACATATCTGCGTTTTGCCTTCGAATTCCCTGATAAATATTGTTTATCACACACTGTTCTTGATCTGTTAAATTCACTCGTTTACGACTACCCTGATTATTATAAGATTGGCCACTAACAGTCACACACGACTCCATTTCTAAACTCACTGGAATCTAGAATTAAATTGTAAAAATAACATGTTTCTCTCATTTGCACGCATATGACATGAAACAAACGTTCAAGCTGGAAACTGATACGTTGAGAAATGAAAATATGCTGCATTAGTCATCTCTCTTTTTGTACACGATAAACAAAGATGGAAATGGGTGCTTATCAGTGGCGGCTAGCCAGGTGAAGCAAGTGACGCACCGCTTCACCTAAAATTTCCGTTTGGTTGTGTAATTTAAAATTATTTTTAATTTTATATAAATTTTATAATTTAGGTATAATTCTATATTGAAAATGTATTGTCTTTGTATAATACGAAGAAATAAACAGAATAGTTATGCGGTGAACGCCTTATAAAAAAACATTGTCTTCGTTGAGCGCGAACATCAACCTCATATGTACCATACAACGTATAGCATAAGTAAGTGATGCGGATCGAAATCAGTCTGTATTCTGCTTCTCTTTGTAGTGTTGTTTACGGCGGTTGTCATGGCAACGAGATGACCAACACGTGAGTAAATATGGCATGGGGAAATGAGTGACGGGGAAATTGAAGCAGCATTGTCATCGCCCATCGCCTTTGGATAGTTTATACGATATGTCGCCCAGTGCACGATTTTAACAGTTCTTTGTTAAAATTTGTTTTGTAGCAATAATTATAGAAATGTTTTCTATATATGATCCAGTATGTATTTTATTAGAAACGCCATTTTCCAGATGGAAAATTGAGGACAAAAAGGGTTTTTTAAATTGCAAGAGACCTGTGCCTTCTCTCGATGTGGAAAAAAGGGGGAAGTCAAAAGACAAAGTATACATTCGGAAGTTGCGAAATGAATGGTATTTGGAGTGGTTGTGTGGAAGTGTTTATTTCAAAAAACTTTTCTGTATGCCTTGTTTAATTGTGGGTGTAGTCGGGCGTGTAGAATAAGAAGGTATTTAACAATTTTGGGAATGGCACGCGAGGCTGTTGTAACCACGAGACATATACGGTGTGCGTTAATATTTGCAGTAGTCCACGAGCTGATCTAATATTTCTATTTTTTGTAAAATCTAAATGAAAATCCTTCTCGTGAACGTCAGTTTTTCGGTAATGTTGCAAATGCGATTAAAAATTCCCAGATTCATTCAAAGTCGATTGACCTTCAAATTTTTTGCTACAGCGCTTTTTTGTTTTTAGTCAGTCAATGAATATGCTTCATCTATTCTCATTGTCACGTGTCCACGCTGGTGCTTATAACAATAGAATGTTTCAAGTGTGCAGACTGAACGTATTATCGGTAAGCTATGATATAAACAGCCCATTATTTGATTAAGAACTTGTAGTAAAAATTGTAGTTTGATTTATTTATGAGACTTACTACCTACTATTTTGGAACTCTGGTACAAGTAATTTAACTTCAATGTACTTGCCTTATAAGTAGAAAATTTCCCTCCGCCAAACATATTTCTACCAAATATGTCTATTCCTACGAAAACATCCAGGTTTCGATGTTTCGCCGCCTCTACGGTTTCCAGGAGGTGCTTTTCGCTCCAAGTGTAATTTAAGAATATCCCGTCACAAGCGTCAAAGAAAAAACTGAAACAGAATATCGTTTAATTGCGAGAACACCAGAATAAAAAATTAAAGTTTACCTGTTTTTTGGGCTAAGTTTATTTTGCCAGTCAAGAGCTCCCTCTACCGTAACGCTGTCGTACCAAATCACTAAATTATTAGGATTGTCAGATTGGACCCGGTCGGAAAGGTAAACCACAAACTTCTTCAAAACATCAACATTTGTAATACTGTTTTCTATATTTAAAAGCCATCCATCAAACCCAAAAATGCTTGAGAGCTTCACCAGGGAGTTAGCAAATTGTTGCATCGTTTGGACGTTTTTGAATATTTTGTCGCATATTTTAGCACCTTGGTCAAATTCAGTAATTAGGGTCCCTAAAAATCAAAATAAAAATTTCGAAATGTTTCTTTAGTTCAAAATTTGAATTAAAAAAAAAATCTTTATCACACTTTTATATTTGGCGAGATATAAGACTTTCGTTATGTGCGAAGATTGTAGCTTTGTTGTTTTTTGATCATTTTTGAAGTTGGGCCACTGAAGACAATTGCACTACAATTAATGTGTTAGCTTAGAAATTCAAATGTTTTATTACCTAGAACCTTTACGCCATTTCTGTGTCCGACATTTATCCAACACAACGGAGGAATAGTAATAAGATGATGGCTAAAATACACAAAAATATCAATCTGCGCCCAGTTGTAAAAAGGATACCCATTTCCCAAAATGTTTTCATCGGGATAATGCAAGTACCTAAAATAAATTACCCTATTACTTTAAAAAACATTTTTTAAAGAAATTAAGTACTTATCGGCTTGGTATCCACCTTTATAATCGTGACACACTAGGGTTTTTGGAACCATTCTAGCGTCGAATCTGTTTCTTGGTAAATAATGATCACAATCGCTGTGGCAGTCCGAGAGGATGTTTTGCACTACAGTCGGAGCTCTTGGTGCGAGAGGTTGGACTCTCTTCACCCACCTAGGTGGTTCTTCTATCACACCCTCGATATCTTCTAAATTGGTAATAGGATGGCATTCGGCAAAAAGACTGGGCATCATATTGTTCTCCATCTGTTCCGGTTCTAGCTCTTCCTTTGTGCGTCTCTTTTTCGGACTCGGCTGAATGGAAGCTAATAAATAAAAAGATAAGAATTACAGTAACCATTTACCACAATGAAGGAATAACCTACTGTCGCTCTTATCTGGTTCCATTTCGGTGAATGTCTATCGCCGGTTTATTTCCCAAAAGTGTTCATATAAGGAAAGGGAAGTGAATTATCTTCTAGTTCCTAGTAACAGAGAGCATTGCGGTTTCGATATGGTTAATTGCTTCCGTTTTTCCGCTTTGGCTGGCTATTAGAATAATATGTTAAGTGTTTGCTGCATTATTTTAATATTCATCTATATCTTGTTTGACTGTAAAATTTCAATGAAATTGCATACCGTAGAATGAATATATACTTCTCTAATCTGTGAGGAGTTTTTTGATTTTGACAATTTCAATTTCTGCCCTATTTTGACCTCAGACTTAGTGATTTCGACTGGGTTGGTCCCAGAGCGATTTAAGAGTGAAGGGAGTACCAGCTACTCTGCTCCCAATTAGTCGCACTCTTACACAGAGTAA